GGGGGGGTGGGGGGCTCAGTGGGGAATGTGCGTCCTCAAGGCCGAGAACTGTGGGGATGTGTAAACCTGCGAACCACATTTATACAGGACCCTGTGGCCGGGGAGACGGCAATCTTTTAGCCGTAGCTCGAGCCGCATTAAACGCCGGAGAATTCACACTGGATGAGGGCCTTGTGGCTACTGGAATGTGGGAAATAATTTACCTTCAGCCCCGGGCTCCGGAACACCCGTCATTTGCACGAAGGCCTCGTGCGCGTGGCAAATGTGGGGGATCGTCTGCCAGGCTCCAGCGTCCTCACGTCGAGGAGTCGCATGAGAGAAAGGCCTTGCGAGGGCAGTGGACGAGGGCAGGCCTCCAGCCGCAGGGCTTATCATGTCGGAGACCACATGCTGCCTTTTTAAGGATTTGGGGCCGTTTGTATTTCTGTTTACTTTTCCTTTGAGTTATGTGATAACTGCGGGGAGTTGTTCTGGGGAGAACTCGCTGGAGCACAGCCCAGAGGATACCGTTACAGGCGGGCGCTCGACACGAGGAATGGACAATCGCAGGCAGGCCGGTCCCTCCCTCCGGGTCTAGGTCAGTCAGGGGCTGGGTCCCTCCCTCTGGGCCTAGGTCAGGGCTGAGACGGTCCCTCCCTCCGGGCCCAGGTCAGGTCTGGGATTTTCTCTTAGAGACAGAGTTTGTGTTTCAGGCTTCGGGGGCCGCACTGTCCCTGTGACAGGTACTCGGCTCCGGCAGGTGCAGGGCCGAGCCGTGTTCCAATGACTTTGTATTTACAGACGCTAAATCTGAGTTTCATATAATTTTCGTGTCATGAAACAGTATTGTTCCCTCCCCCATTTGGGAATATGAAAACAGTTCTTAGCGCTGGGCTGTGTACACGTACACACACACGGAAGGTGACACCGGCCCCTCTCCTCTCCTCTGGTCTTAGCTCTGAGCCACATGCGGGGGGCGGAGTCACGCCCAGAGGTCACCAGCCTTGGGAGCGGCCACCTTTGCTAGAAGCAGACAGTGCTGTGCGGGTCGGGAGGAGTCTGCAGCCACAGTCACGTGGTACCTTCCCCTGCGATGTCCCTAGTTAGGTAAGGGGAGGGGCAGAGTCCCACCTGTTTAAGATGATGAGGTCTGGATGAGCTTTAAAAACTTGGTAACGTTTTAAAAGCGGGTTTGGCTCGGTGGTTAGGGTTTTGCTCAGTGGTTAGGGTTTAGCTCGGTGGTTAGGGTTCTGCTCGGTGGTTAAGGTGCCCGCCAGCGGACCAAAGGGTCAAGGGTTTGATTCTAGGTCCAGGGCCTGCCCCTGGGTTGCAGGTTGATCCCCAGCCCAGGTCAGGGCTCCTGCAGGAGGCAACCAATCAATGTCTCTCTCACATCAATGTTTCTCCCCCTTCCACTCTCTAAAACTCAATGGGAAATACCCTCGGGCGAGGAGACTAGAGAAGCGACTGTAGTTCAGACGCCTGTGGGTGCATTTGCAGGTGGCGTGTGCCACAGGCGCAGGCGAGCTCCTTTATTTCCTACAGCACACGGACCCTACAAGCCGCCGAGGCACACGTACTTGACCTCCAGGTACTCGTCGATGCCGTACTTGGAGCCCTCGCGCCCGAGGCCTGACTGCTTCACGCCGCCGAACGGGCACTCCACGGCCGAGAGCAGCCCTTCGTTGACGCCCACCATGCCCACCTCCAGCCGCTCCGCCACCCGCCAGATCTGGGCGGGGTCCTGCGAGTAGAAGTAGCCTGTGCGGGAGGAAGGACGAGGGGCGTGCAGGACGTCACAGGGGCGTCCGGTCCAAGCTGAGGGGCACTGACTCAGCCTCCTCCCTCAGGCCTGGCAGCGCCCGGCTCCCAGCGAGACCCCAAGCCGGGCCTGTCCGATTCGTCCTCTCAGACCCTGGACGTTCTTTCTAAAGGACCAAGGCCCATCCGGCTGGCGTGGCTCAGCGGTTAAGCATCGACCTAGGAACCAGGAGGTCACGGTTCGATTCCCATCAGGGCACAGGCCCGGGTTGTGGGCTCGATCCCCAGTAGGGGGCGTGCAGGAGGCAGCCGATCCATGATTCTCTCTCATCATTGATGTTTCTTTCTCTCTCTCCCCATCTCCTTTCCTCTCTGACACCAATAAAAATGTATATATTTTTAAAAAGGACCAAGGCAGCCTCCCCTAGGCCACTCTGTGACCCTCCTCGTGTATCTGAAGCCCTTCTCCTGTCTCACTGTCCCCGTCCTTCTGTCCTTAATAAACGTCCTCTCGAGTCACCGGCCTTGGGTGTGAAACCGTCCCCCAAGAAGTCAAGGACCCACACGTTTCGGGCCGTGCAAGGGCAGGCCCAATGGTCCTGGTCCCTTCCTGGTGACAGTGTGGCCACTGTCCTTTTACTTGGAAATGGTCATGAGCCCTCTGCCCAGCCCGCGCTTCCTCTCCGTTCAGCCCAGGCCCAGCGGGGCGGGAGCAGCACTTGGATTTCCAGGCAGCCAGCCCCGGAGGACAGGGACTCATGGTGTGTGAGTCCCCACCGGGAGCCACCTGTTTCGCCTCTCCCGCCCCTGCTCCCACCTGAGCTCGCGGCAGGCACCACCCGCCCGCCCTCAGCGAGCACCAGACAAGTGTCCTCCAACCCAGCTGGCATCTCTAGGGCAAACATCAGCCTCCGCTGGAGACGCACCCACGGCCCTGAGGCAGGACGGACACCCACCTGCTAACCCCACATCGGCTGCGTTCGCGATCGCCAGCGCCTCCTCCTCTGTGTGGAACCTGCCAGGTGAGCGGGGCAGCAACAGAGTGTGAGCTCAGGGAGGGAACGCTGGCTTCCTCCTGACTCATCTCCCCAGCGATGGCGAGAGAGCCAGGTCTGCAGGGACCCAGAGCGGGCGGAGGGGAAGGCACCCCGGCTTCGAGGACCACCAGTGCCACCGTGTCCAACAGAGCCCCTCCCTCCGCCCTCCCACAGCCAGGCCTCTGACCTTCCCGCGACCTTGGCCGTCGGGGGTCTTACTTGATGACAGGGGCCAGGGGCCCGAAGGTCTCCTCCCGCGCGCAAAGCATGTCCCTCGTGACGTTGCTGAGCAGCGTGGGCTCAAAGAAGTTGTTCCCAAGTTGGTGCCGCTTCCCGCCGGTCACGAGGGTGGCCCCTTTGGCCAGCGCGTCGCTCACGTGCGTCTCCACCTGGGAGGGGAGAGGCCGGGCCCCGGAAGCTGGTGAGGGCACCTCGAAACCACAGACCCCCCCTCGAACAGGCGGAGCTCTGTGACCCACTTTCTCAGTTCGGCTGGAACCCACGCAGCCCGGTCCCCGCCCCTCCCCCGCCATCGCTCCACATGGACCGCGGCCTCTGAGATCCGACGGCTGGTGTGGCTCAGCAGTGGAGCATCGACCCACACAGCAAGAGTGCAGGTGCAATCCCAGTCAGGGCACAGGCCCAATTTCGGGCTGGATCCCCAGTGGGGGCCGTGCAGGAGGCAGCCAATCCATGATTCCCTCTCATCATTGATGGTTCTCTCTCTCTCTCTCCCTCTCCCTTCCTCTCTGAAAGCAATAAAAATATATTTTAAAAAATATATTTTTTCCCTTTCACTCGTTGGGAAAATTAAAGAACCTTGTGTTTCGAGGCCCTGAGGCAGCCAGGGGTGGAGTCCACCGCCCTCAGAGGAAATGAAGGGAGCGCAGCAGGTCTAAAGGGACGCTCAGGGGACACGGCGCAAGGACAGCCAGAAAGGCTGTGGCCAGGTGACGCCCCACGACGGACACACGTTGGCAGGAATTCCGTTTTTTTCCGACGTCTCTGCCGTTTCCAAAACAGCCTTGCTAGGCACCTTACCCAAGTGCCTTTTGCCAGGGAACCTTCCGATGCCAACACCGTGAAACTGAACAGACGACCAACGAGCTACCTTTTCCACCGCCTTCTCGTTGATCAGCGGGCCTTGAGTCGTCCCCTCCTCAAACCCGTTCCCCACGCGCAGGCTGGCCCTCATCGCCTCCGCCAGCTTCCTCACGAAGGCGTCGTGGATCCCGCTCTGCACCAGGAACCGGTTGGAGCACACACAGGTCTAGAGAGAGAACAACAAACGGGTGGACGTGTGTGTCGGCAGCCGCTGACCCAGCCCAGAACCAGGCCCATGCGGCTGCCGTGCCTGCCGCGGGAGGAGAGGACAGTTTGATGAAAAGAACTTCCGTGAAGCCAGGAACCTCCTTCTTTCTCTCGGGGCCTCCCAGCCTCTGGCCCCTGGTAAAGAGAGGGCCTTACTGTTTGCTGAGAAGGTGAAAGAAGAAAGAATGGACCGTGGAAGGAACCCGAGTTTCCTCCGCATAAGAAAAAGGGGGAGTGCCCGGCGGTGTGACTCGGTGGATTGAGCATCGGCCTGGCCTGCGGACTGAAGGGTCCTGCACATGCCCGGGTTGCAGGCTCGATCCTCAGTAGGGGGCGTGCAGGAGGCAGCCGATCCATGATTCTCTCTCATCATTGATGTTTCTATTTCACGCTCCCTCTCCCTTCCTCGCCGCTGACCCAGCCCAGAACCAGGCCCATGCGGCTGCCGTGCCTGCCGCGGGAGGAGAGGACAGTTTGATGAAAAGAACTTCCGTGAAGCCAGGAACCTCCTTCTTTCTCTCGGGGCCTCCCAGCCTCTGGCCCCTGGTAAAGAGAGGGCCTTACTGTTTGCTGAGAAGGTGAAAGAAGAAAGAATGGACCGTGGAAGGAACCCGAGTTTCCTCCCAGGAGACGCGGGAGGTGGAAGGACCTTCGTAAAACACAGACACGCACGACCCGGGACACGCCCGGGACTCACCTGTCCCGAGTTCCTGAATTTCGAGGCCATGGCCCCCGCCACGGCCTGGTCCACGTTGGCGCTGTCAAACACGATGAACGGGGCGAGGCCGCCCAGCTCCATGGACACCCTCTTCACGGAGTTGGCCGCATGGTGCAGCAGCGCCTGGAGCAGAGGGGAAGGGGCCGTGGGTGGGCGAGGCCTCCACCACCAGGACCCGCCAGGCCTTTCCAAGTGACCCAACAGCGAGGA